AGTAGTAGTAGTAGTAGGTTTAGCAGCAGTAGTAGTAGTTCCCAACTCGCATTTAATTTGATTGTCCACCTTGTTTTTGTATTCGCAGGCCATTGCAGCTGGAAGAAAGCTCCAGGAAGAGCTCAAGAAGGCTTTGCCTTCAATGATCGAGCCAAGTCCCACTCGCACGATTCAATTCAAGTCTTCTGACGGCGTGTCGAGGAGATCATCGAAGGTGTTGCAAACACGATCCGGCTGACCAATCCCAAAACGGCTCTTCGGCTGTTGCTATCCGTCAATGTTCTTGACTTGCCGCATGCTGTGTGATTGAGGGCATCCGAATGTCTGAGATGGGTGGCCATCCCATCATCCAGGTGGCCCTTCGTGATGACCTGCTTGGCTGTTCTTGGCGTCAAACTCCGTAACACTTTGTCAGGCACTGAAGAACAAGCACCAAGAGACGTTCAAGACCATACAGCTTTTGCTCTTCATCAAGGTGATGCTCCTGTGGATTGCAGGTCTAAGAAGTTGTCCTTGTGCATAGTGCTTTCAGGCACATGACAAAGTCTTCTGGGTGGATGATGCTGAGAGCAGCAACCCATTGGTCAGATGTCTGGAGGAGCGATTGCCGTGGTCACACCGCCGGCTCATCAGACTTGACATGCATTTACTAGTGGCAATGTCAGGACGTTGAAGCAGAAGTGGCCCCTGATGAGAGACCGCTTGAGGACAGAAATCCCGCGGCGACTAGAAATCGTCTGGAGATTCAGATCTCAAGCAGTGATGCCTCAGGAAATCATAGAAGAAAGACGAGCCGCACTGCCTCCTGGTGGAACCCCTGTGACACCGGAGACGTTCAAGGCTGCCGGCTCGATAATGAGGATGGCAAAGACGGCAAAGACACGAAGAGCCGGTCGTCCAAGGGCATGAGCAACAGATCCGCTGCACTCAGGCCTGGAAAGAGAAAAGAGAGGCACGTCTCTAGCTTGGTGATTTCGTACCGACGGCGGTCTCCGCAGAGGCAGAAAGGTTGGCCCAAGTGGAAGCAGACCGTCAAGAAAATGCAAAGAAAGGTACCAAGGCATCAAGAGTGCAGACCCTTTTGTGCAAGTCTACGACATGACTGCTTTGAAACTTCTTCACAAAGCAGTTTTCACTGTCAGGGCCTTGTCGGCATGAGTGGCCGAGATCTGTTCACGTACGATGCATCTCTCTTCAAAGACGAAGAGGGTGCCGTGTCGGCAGACGAGTATGATGAGCGGGAAGAGGCCCAACTGACGTGCACTTTCTGTGCAAGCTTATTGCCTCCTACCCAATACCTATTCCCGAAAGGACCCCGAGTATGACGATGATGACGGCAAGACCCCTGGTGTAGTGTCCATCTCAGATATGAAGCCTTTGCAAACCAGCAGCGCGGCCAGCATGTCTTGGCGGCACCGCAATCCGAGGCTCAAGATTTGCAGGATGAATGTGAGGATGGCGAGGAGCGGGTGTGATTTGGGGGGCAGATAGAACTTGTACCACGAGACCGGACAGAGACTCAAGGCAAACGAAGAGCTCGGCATTGTTTGCAAACATTCGGCAGTTCACTGCATGAAAGAAACAATCGGCGAGTTCCTTTGTCGTGGCGAGGGGCCACGTGCGTCCGTTCTTTGCCCGTGTTCCATTTACAAACAGAAGTGTCGTATCAGTTCTTGTGTAGTCTATCGGATCACATGTGGGGCACCTTCGCAAGGCGAGTATCTGCCGTAACGGGAACCGGCTAACGGTAACATAGCCGTGTAACAGAAACAAGCCCCGACGTCGCCACAATCCAACTGGTTCCTGTAACAGGGCTGGGCCAGCCCCTGGTAACAGGAACCGCGGCCCGAGGCCTTCTTTGAGACCCTGAAGCTTAGCTGGGCTTAGCTCCGGGATCGCTTTCCGGTCCCCCAACTCAGAGAAATTCAGACCTAGGATTCCAGCAAGCCTCAACATTTTCAACCGACACCAAGACTCCGCAATTCAAAAACTCCCCCAAAGCAGTCCCCGACAAATCCCAAGCTCGTTTGAAAAAACGAAGTCATCCGGCAGGTCGGGTTTTCGGATTTAGTTTTTATTAGGGCTTAGGGTTTAGAGTGCAGGGTTTGGTCATTGGTCGTCGACGCAGGCGTTAGCACGCTGTACGCTTTAGATTCCTTAGAGGATGTAGCCGGTATCTCTGGATATCTCTGGACAACCTCCTTTGCATGCCCGTGGGGGATGTTTTCGGTCCCCTACTTCGCGAGCGTAAAAGCCTCCTGCCTTGGTTTCCGTTGGTAATTCCAGTTACGCTGGTCGTTTGGTTGCTCTTACTCCGGGCGCGAGTTCCTGTCACATGTGTGCGAACTCGGTTTCCGTTACTCCCAAACAGGTTCGCGTTACTCCCCGCACCCGTGTGTTCAGAAGGCTCTTTATCTCACCTGTATACAAGCGGCCTTCAGTCCTTTTGCGCTCTCCAGGCCGTCCTTGACGGCTCGGACCCATATCGGACTTCGGAAACCCACAGTAGGACCCGTGTGGACTTTGATATGCCTCGTATTGCTCGTCGCAGTATCGGTGATGTTCGCGGGCTTCACCAAGTTTGGGTTGCTATGCGGCCATCACTACTGGCAGTGCTCATGTCGACAGCTCCGCAGTCCTTCGACAAATATTCATGAATGAAACATATAGGGGTGATTGCGAGCAAGTCGATTTCGTGGTCGTTGCATGCAACATGCTTTGCATGTAGTTGCGGCTTCAGCCAGCTGAACCATACCACTTCTGCACGGTGTTGATGGCGGAGCCACGTGGGGCGCAACCTGAGATATGCTGGCCATTTCATGCCGGCCGCATGTGCTCGTATCTTACCCTGCAGTTGGAGCTGTGTGGAAACGGTTGTCAGATGAATGACTCATTCATGCACCCATTGGCAAGTCACGCCCCGTTATCTAATTCCGCCGCTCTCCGCCCGAGTTACATGCCACTTGCCCTCGGGCCACTGCGGCTTGAGAGTATACCTCTGTTCTGTGACAGCCCAATGCACATTCTCACGCTGGATGAATTGTCAAAGCCAGCGGCGCCGGGGTAGTGCCTAGAATCTAGAATCTAGAACCTTTGGCAAGACTTCACTACGCTGGGTGTAGGAATTTGAGCGGAGCAAGCCTGACAATTGTTTCGAGTCTTGAGGAGTGGTACCGAAGGCTACAAGTAAACCAATTGTCGGACCAAGCACTTGATTTACTGGATGGCCTAAATATCTGCTCTTGCACTCTTGTTTCACGGGGAAAATCAATTCGGCGAACATGGCTCGCCGAAAATCCCTGGTATTCCCTGGTCCTGCTTGAAAGATCGTCTTGCCATATAGGGAATCGTGGGCCACCAGCACCGGCCGGAACAGGGCGAAACAGCGACGAATTCACGGAATTGCGAGTCATGCCACGGCACTTCGGGCCACACATGCGCCCAGGCGACGGTCGGTTTGTTAGGTTCGGAGAAGTTGGTTTCGTGCCTTCAGGACGAAGAAGCAGAGCCAGATTCTGGTGCCAGAGGTAGCGAAGATGTCAAGGACATGGCGGTCTCTTGCACAGCGGCGTCCTTCGGCATGGTTTCAGACCGTGTAATCCCGAGATGTCACAAGGAGGCAGGCGCCATCAATGAGAAGCTTTTCTTGGAGGACGGCCTTCGTTTCACAGAAGCTACCGGTAGTGAAACCCGGATGCAGCTTGCATTGCAACACCGCAATCCACCAGCAATGCCTGCGCGTTACTTGCTCGGTCGCAGTTTGGGGGCTCCGCTGTAAGGTCCAGTTGCCTACAGGCACTCAATTGGGATAGTTTGGGATGGGCGCCTCTGCAAAAAGACACCATGCGACAATCAACGTGTGTTGCGGCAATTGCCTCCGTGAATGCAATCCCGCGATTTTGCAGGAAGAGGATCTGCCGGACGATTTGGACGATTTAGACGAGGCGGACGAAGAAGCTGTGGAGGAAGGCAAAGGATGAGTGCGTCCAGCTGGGTCCAGCATCGGAATGGGTCCACAAGCGACGATGCGGCGAAACGCTTTGCGCCTGGCGCCGTTTTGCGCCAGAACCAAAAGGTCTGATTGCGCATTTCGCCGGTGTGGCCTCAGCGGCAGTAGCCGGTGGAGTTGGCGAATGGCATTCCAAATTGCCAAGCTCACAGCATTCCGGCAGACTGGAAGACATAGGCTAGCAGGACAGTCAGGCTGCTCGTCGCGTTTTCATAGCCTTGTGGCAGCAAGAGGCCCGCTAAAGGCTGCAGTATCCCGATGTTGCAGTGACGGACAAGGACAAGAAGTGTACCGTGGGTATCCGTGGGCCTCTGAACGCCATGCAAAAACTTTAAGACTATCCGGCGTGCCGGAGAAAAAGATATTCTTCCCGGCGTCATGTTCCTCGATGTTCGAAGGCCGCCGTGAAGGATTAGGAAGGCTTAGGACCTAGGATGGCTGAGGGCTAATGCTCCAAGCAGGCTCTAGGACTCTAAGAACGGGCCATCCGGCCTTTGCCCGCCAGCCATGGTCGCTCCGACTCTTCGCCTCCAGGCGAAGCAGGCGAAGGCGAAGAGCTTGCAGGCCATTGCCAGTCGGAGCCAAAAAGGGCGTTTTGGAAAGCGGAAAAATGATTTGTTGCGAGTCTGTGTGGTACAGGAAGTTCGAGCTTGAACTTTGTTCCGTTGGGAGAGGCACGGCTGGCAAGGGCTTTCGACCTGCACCAGTTGCAGAAGGTCTGGCGGCCTGCAGCGATTAGGTGTGCTTGAAAGCTCTCAGCGGAGCAACCTGATGCCTGCCCGTTCAATCCTTTCCCGTCGGATGCCGTTAGACAGTTTCAGCTTTCCACTCGTAGCTCCTGGGAGGTGCTTTCGCAAGCCCCTCACGATGCCTGGACTGAGTCGAGTCTGACCTCTGTGGCTTTGTTGCACTAGTACCGGTCCTCATGGCATCCTTAAAGCTTGTAACAAATACCGCATGTACACCACTGGCACCAAATTCCCTTCGGACAAAAGTTTCTCAAAGCCTCACTCCGCAGTGCTGAATGAACTCTGAACCCAACCAAGTTGTGGTTTCAGTTGTCGGAATTGAATCTTGGTCAAGGGCCGGATTCGAGCATGGGCATTTGAAGCAGAGAGTCGCTCTTTGAGTTTGTAGTGCCTGCGACGAGATGTGGGCGACAACCCGCTTGCTTTGGAAACTCTGTGCATCTCTGTGCCTTGTTGCTTCGCAGCTTGTCCTGGCCGAGGCTTGGCACCGCTTAGCACGGCAGTCACAAGGTGTCAGCAAATCTGGGATGCTGTCACCGTGCGTCTCAATACTGCAATCTGCGCAGTTGCGCATCGGCTTTGCATCTTTGCCACCTCGTGGCATTGCTTGACGCTTGGTTAGGTTCAGTTGGCGTCAAGAGATTGGTTCAAAGCGTATGTCCGGTGGGAGAGCTGTCCTTGACATGGACCAAATTCGAAGCGTCTCCTCGTGCGATTCGATCCAAGCTGCCCTATCAGCTCTGGCGATGTCCTCCTTTGTCTAGAGAGAGAGAGAGAGAGAGAGAGAGAGAGAGAGAACAAAACAATGCGGGTGGGCCTGTGGCC